ATATATATATTAAAAAAGAAAGACAATGCTATCAACCTGTCCCCTTTAAAAAATCGTTGATTGAACATGGACATTCCTCAATTAGATAATGTCTGACCAGGGCATTGTGGCTTCGGGGCTCATCTTTAATTTTTTTTCCTTATGTTTGATGGTAGTTTAGAGAAAAAGTTATGGCCTCGAGCCGCTGTTTTATTAATTTTTATGATTAGACTTTCTGTTCTGTTTCTGGTGTTGTGGTTGTGCACCACTCTCGATTCCTGTAGTTTCTTGTTGTTGTATAATTTAGTAATTTAGTAGTTAGTTTATAATTAAAGTGGTTTCTTTTGTAAAGTCTACTTTAGCAGCTGAGTCAACAATACCCCACTCTGCGGGCAGGAGGTCGAGCCAACTAAGAATGGCAAGCGGGTTTCCCGAACGAGGAACATGGTTTGGGGTATTTAAAGCAAACGGTCCAGGCAGGTCTCAATTTTGCTCTACATAATTCCAAGACCCGTAGGCAAAGATCGGAGGAATAGAGCAAATAGAGCAAAATAGGAATATTAGCAATAGAGAATTAAGGAGAAGTAGAATAATATATTATCCAATTTTTTATTAGTATTATAAATAAAATTATTAGTATATTTTTATTGGAATTAGTCCAAACTATAAGCAATTTGCTACGGCTGAGCCAAATTGTCAAGATTGAGGTCGCCAGATTTTTACATCGCAGAGACTGTCATGATAACGTTTAGCGCGCGATGTGAATCACGTAGAGCATTGAGTTTTCATGAGCGGGTGGTTTGAATTCACGCAATAAGAATCATTAAATATCTTCTCGAGGAGTTTATTTCTGTAATTTTCGTTGTGCGCATCGAGTCCTACGTGAAATTTTGGTTGAGAAACATGTATCAGAATGCTGAAATTCGTACCTTGTCCAGTGGCCCATTTCAGATTTATTTTCCACTCTGGGTCGGGGGTGTGAATTATCCGAGTTTGAACGTGACACACGGCAACAATGTACATGATTCAGTTGTTTAATGGTGTCTCCTTGCTCGTGTGGTAATGTTCAGATGGTGGTTGAGAGCCGGAAAATATAATCCCCCTCCCGCCAGACCCGCGTTTTATCTCCCTCTGTCGCGGAGTCCTCGCTTCTTGCACTTTTTTTGCCTCTGAAAACGCTCAAGTCCTTTCGAATTGAATCACAAATCTCCTTCCTCGTGTTAGACCGTCCTCATACAAAATAGGCGATTTTATTCAAACTCGGCAGAAGCACAGTGCGGCATCCTTATGCACTGAGAAAAAACTATGGCTTATAAACCTATTAGAGGTAAATATGGAACACCACTAATAGTAGTACCTCTACATATAATAATAGCACATATACCTTAGTTATGGTACGGGGTACCTCAATTAGGTACAGACCTTAGTATGGTTCACAGACCGAGAATCATTAGTTTATTTACGACTATTATAGGTGTTCCATATTTACCTCTAATAGGTTTATAAACCATAGTTTTTTCTCAGTGTGGACGATTCTTCGATGAAATTCAAAAATTATGCTAAACGTTATTAGGAACGGATTCTAGGACTTCCTGAGTTTTTCCGAGTACCACTCTCTTTTCGTGCGGTAGTATCTTGATTTATTTTGCGAGGAAAGCTCGTACTCTTAAAGGATGCCTGTCAGACTCGATGCGTTAGAGCGCCTTCAATTTCATATGATCTGTGCAACACCTCTGTCGCGAAGTAGTTGATTGAAGCGCCGCGCCGTGGCACTCCGCAGCGCGGCGGGCAACCGGGAACACAGGCGCCTACAAACCTAATAGGGATACTTCATGCATTGCGCAATGCGTGAAGTATCCCTGTTAGGTTTGTAGGCGCCAGCGCGCGTTTTGAGCCGGCAGCACGCCGCACAGTGCGGCATCCTTATGGACGATGCCGACGAAAATCTGCACTTGACACTTAACTTTAAATAATGAAGACAGTTGCACCGACATGGGAAAACCCTTTGCCACTATCAATGTGAAACACTCGAGGAATAAGGAAATGTTATATTTCAGGATTTTTGCGTATTTCTTGAGAAAAGTTCATTTAAAGTTGACAACCTCGAACTAACCTATGTTGACAATGTAAAACCAACGTGAAACACCCTAACCTTAACTTCAAATATCTCTGATAGTCGCAAAAAGTCGCAAGATCTTTTTGGTAGAATTGAAGTTGGACATCTGAGGATGAAAAAAATGTCGAGCACTCAGAGCATTTTGCGTTTCAAACAAGAATGAGATTGTGAGAATGAAACATTAAACACAAAAATAAACGCATAAACACAATAATATAGTAACAATTAATATAGTAAACTTCGACAACTTAGTATCAAAAGAAAACTTTGTCTACTTCAAAGGGCCACGAAGAAACAAAAATGCAGAGAGCCTTTTCAGCTAATTAAGCTCTCCCTTTTAAATCTATCTTTGGCTGTAAATTTCCTGATCTCATAACTTATACACATTTAGAAACAAAACACATTAAATTTCACCCTTGCAACACAGGAGAGTGGCTGAAAAGGGATTGATTCGCATTTTTCCTTTCATTTCTTTCTCCTGGCAGCTGGAGAATTATTCTTTATAAATTCCTCTAAAATTTTCTCAAAATTCTACAGAAATTTTTGCAAAATTTAAATTTAAAACATAAAAATCTGTAAATACATTTCTTGGGAGGTCTCTTGCGGGGATTGATTCAGATCGTTATGGTTTGCGCCTCGCAAGAATAGGGTTTCAGTTGGCTCACATGAGCTTTACGAACAAATTCCTCGGTCTTCGGATCAACAAGGTGGACGGTGACCGGTGAAACAAAGTTTAAAATTTTATAGGGACCTTGCCATCTGAGAGCCAGTTTGGTAGCAATCTGACGTGATTTGTTGCTTTGAGGATGGGCTTTTACCAAAACGAGCTGACCAATTTTTTAGGGAGACTCGGTTCTCAATTCATTGTATCTCTTCTCAGTTCTCTTATGGGAGTTGATTAAATTCTTCTTCACTTTATTCCACACGGCAGTCACATCCTTGGGGTCAGACGGTAATAGTTCATTTAGAGACCAATGCAATGATAATGGATGGGCGGGCGGGTAAGTAAACATTATTTCGAAAGGGGTGTGTTCGTGACCCTCATGTTTCGCTAAGTTAAAAGCCAGTTGAATCCAATTAAGATTTTCGTCCCACGTATTGTGAGCTTCAGAATGGTAAGCTATTAGAGCACCTTTCAAATTTGTATTGACTCTTTCGGCAGAATTTGCTTGTAGGTTGTAAGGCGGAGTTATCGAGTAAAGCTTTACTTTTCTATGGTGGTATTGTGTTATCAAACTTTTGACACTTGTCAGGTTTTACATTATACTTCATACTTGCGTTAAATTCTTCAAACCAATAATTAGGCACGCGCAAAAATTTTGCCGCCTTTTTATAAATCCGGTATTTGAATTCCATTCGCTCGTGGTGAAGCCTCGAACATGGCTAAAAGCTGATTTTCGATTCCTTCCTCTGGACTGTGCTTTACCGCGAGAGCGTCGCGTCGTCTCTAAGTCCCTGGACTTCCAAGAGGAATCCAACTCATCAACTTTTTGGTGTAATTGTTGAGCAGGGTTATAATCATTGTGGTGAGGAATAGTTTCATTACCTTCTCCACACAAGTTTCACGATCATGGCAAACGGCCTGGATATTTTCCAGGGCAACGCTGCACACTTTCCTGCCGAAATTTACAATGGCTTTTCTGTGGTTTTTCAACTTCAAAAACTTATTCTAATGATTATAAACTTTATTCGTCAAGAATGCTCAAACAAGCAAACAATGCGTCTAATCCTAAACAATTAAACCGATGAGTTTCTTATTTCCAAATTAAATTTAAATCAAAAGTGATTTCACTAATCTGCCAGTTCACTCATTGAATAATATGTGCCATCCATTGAATATTTTTTTATTCCTCAAAAAAATATCTTGCTATCAGTCGTATTCATAGGCCGAACTGACAAAGGTTTCAAAAAGTTTAAAAGTGTTCACACATAAATCAAGGAGAAAGCAGATGGTTTATTTAATCTTCCTCTATCAATACCACATAAGTACTCATAAAATTCCGCAGGTCGCTCTACCCCTAATTAATTTTCAGTAAATAAAATCTCTACACCACCAGAACCGAAAAGCATCTTCTCTCGCTTGAATACTTGGATAACTTTTTGGCAGTGCAACTGGATAAAACAATTAAAACTCCCTGCTTATTGAGGGATCGAGGGGAACCTTTTTTTTCCATGCTTTCGTCTGCTAAGTAACCCATTTGCGCGAGGGTCGCGCAAATGGGACAAGAGATGCAACCCATTTGCACGAATGAAAAGGCAACCGTTTGGCGCAAAATGTCTTTCAGGGGATTTATGTTTTCATCTTTATCCTCTGTTGAGACCTTTTCAATTTTGTCACACAACTTACTAATATTCATGTGCTTAGAGCCTCCAGTTCTTACCCTGTCTAGAGGCTCATTCTAAGCCTACGCTTTGATTCCAGTACTTGTTCAGCAGAAACATGCGGTAGTTACAACCGCTTAAGCGTCTGTAACCACTGAGTTTAACTTCTAAACTGGCTGCCTACTTCTTGGCAGTAAAAACAGTCGGAGTATAATACTTGATTGCACTTTGCGCACTGTAAGCAATATAACAGCGTATTCAAAAACATTTACAACTTCCTTAAAATATCTCTGCGTTTGGGGATCGTAGATAAATTCAGATAATACTGTCAAATTTTTAAGGTGATAAGGTGTTTTAACGTAATTTTAAATCATTATCAGCTATAAACTCTTCACCAATTGGCTATCCTCGCGAATCTTGTAAATGGAACATAAAACCCGCAAATAAATTACCATCACAAATTATAATACCATCATAAAGAGTTGACTCAGTCAGGCTGATTAAACGGTTAACTTATATCCCGCGAAATTATTTTTAAAAATCCACCTTTAATTTTTGTGTTAAAATTAGAGGCGGTACTTACAATTTCCATTCTTGGTGTGTGGTGTTGGTGCCGTTGTAAACGGCCACACACTTGTTCCTAAGTTCGCCCATATAAACCTGGAGAGCAAAGAGGGCAAAGACCATGAGACAGAATATTGTCAGGGTCATGACCTCGGCGAGTTGCTTAAACGAGTGTAGAAGCGCGTTGATGATGGTTTTCAAGCCTGAAACAAAGTGAATATACCTTTTTAATGAATAGATATCAATAAATGTTCATGAACATACCTAAACATACCATTTTAAAACCGGATATAAGCATCTTGACGAGTCTGGACTATTTTTTCAAAGCTATTTTATGTCAATCTGGGTCGAAGAATCAAATACGAATCGCTGTATTACACAATGTAAATTTGGGGGTTATTTTTACCTCATTGCTTTCTGAAATGTTCACATCTTTTTTCTGTCGATAAACTAAAATTAATAATTTAACATGATTGATACTATACACATACATATTACACAGCAGCGCTATGTAATAAATCGTAAACGTTCGACAATGTTTTTTTGCCTTTTGTGAACATACAACGTGTGAATCTCAAAATCAAGGAATTATTTCTCTCCAAATGAGGAAATCACTGTCTATCTAAAGTTTGCTCTCTCTACTAAAGTCTCTCTTGCTAAAGTTTAGTCTACATGAGACGGTACGTTAACTTCATGTGACGCCAGAAACTTCCCAAGGAAAACACCCGATCCGTCCGATTAGAGTGACAAGACTCCCGAAATAATCTAAGAATCCACAGAAACGCCTCGCACCAGACGTCAGAAACTTCCAGAGGAAGACGTAGGATTCACTCCAAAACAAATACAATTACACGATGAAAATAATACTGTATACTGAGAACATGAAGTTCTAAGTCATTTACACTTCCGTCATTTTTTCTTGTCTAATGATAACACAGGTTTTGTAGACCAAACTATTAAAGTTGATGTTGTCGCGTGTGGAAGCGGCTCTTATTGTGTCTGCTGTGATTATTTCTCGCTGGCAACTCACAATGTGGCCGGGGAAGATGTTAGTCTATTTCAGTTGAGTTTTAGGCACAATACTGGTTAAATCTGACTTGTAATGATATTCTTGGAACCAAAATATTCCTATATGGAATTTCTCCATGTTGTGGCTTTACCGACACTACTGAAGTCTTCAAATCTGAAAATATTTCTATATGGAATTTCTCCATGTGGTGGTTTTACTGGAAAAAAAAAGTTACAGGCTATATGTACATATCGTTCGTCCCGGGCGCAGAACGAAAGTTACGGGTACTGGAGCTGTAGTTTCAATCGCTCCGGGTCCTACGGCCGGAACGCGTACGGTGCGTCCATATAGCCCGTAAGTACGGCTTCCACGGCCGGAGTTTTTTTTTCAGTGTGTATAACGCAACTTGAAATCTTCGGCCCTTAGGTAATAACATTTGCTCGTTCGAACTCTAATTCGACTTTCGTAGGAATACAGCATCAAAGTATCAGGGTTACAAAATACAATCGGGTATTTTGTAGATAGATAGATAGATAATAGTTTTTATTTTATGACCTTACAAAGAAATTTACATTTTGATAACATCCATGACTAGAAAACGCAAATCCATGGCACACAGGCGGTCAGGGGGAATCCTATGTGGAGGATTCATCAACCTTCTCTACTTTTTACTTAACAATTCTCCGCTCACACTTAAATATACAAGTAAAATAAACCCTAAAAAGACCAATTGAACATTAAAAATTAAATTCAGATACTAAAAAGTACCTATACTACCACGCATCCCTGCAGTATCGAGCGATTTTCTTTTAGTGCTCACCCTTTATAACATCTAAAAACTCATTTTCCCGAAAAGACTTTTTTTGAAACCATTAAACTCTAAACTCTGACAAAAGAGGACACCGGGGCAAAAAACTGATCAACTGTTTTCTCTTGCCCTAAATTACACAATGAGCAAATTGCATTTTTGGCTTTATATGCATATTTATTTATGTACGCTGACTCTCTCCTGATCTTAACCGCCCAGCTATCAGGGATTTTATATTTCGAATACTTTTAATTGATTCAAAGTAATATCGTTCAAGTGGCAAGCTTTCACATGAGCTCTGCAGAGAATAATAGCGGCCGGCTGAAGCGTTACGAGGACATGTGGTAGCCCTTTCACCGCCGCTGTTTCCGCATCTTTTCACGAGCAGCAGCCAAGTTTATCCGAGACTTATCCACGCTCACATCGAAACATTCGGATCGCTCCGATTCGAACGATCCGCCGTGAAAATTTTGAAACCGCGCCGGTAATAAATGAATACTGCATCGGTTTCGTCCAATTTCAGGCGGGGCCGGACAGTTTATTCGACAGATCGTAAAACTTGGATGCACCGAAAATAGATAGCTTTGCGGCATCGTATATTTCACGGTTATTTATGGTCGCCCCCGGCCCAGGCCGAGTGGTCCGCAGCGAAACCAGGAGGAAAAATGAGCAATTTCGCATTATCATTGAAAGACGGTTCACATTCTAATTGAAATTTGTGAATTATATCTCAGTTTTTCTCACATTTATCACACTTGGTAGCGGATTTACATGCGTACGCATTCTGGGTCCCAAATAACGATATTGAATGTTGGTTCACTTCGCACTGTATAAAAACTATCTTGGTTTCAGCAAAGTTATTCCTTAATGGACCACTAGATAAGGTACGAATTTCAGCATTCTGATACATGTTTCTTAACCAAAATTTTACGTAAAACACGATGCACACAACGCAAATTACCGGAATTAACTCCTTACGAAGATATTTAATGATTCTTGATGCGTGAATTCAAACCACCCGCTCATGAAAACTCAATGCTCTACGGGATTCACATCGCGCGCTAAACGTTATCATGACAGTCTCTGCGATATAAAAATCTGGCAACCTTAATCTTGACGCTTTGGCTCAGTTATAGCAAATTGCTAATAGTTTGAACAACACATGGTAGAAAATGAACAGTGCTCGATTGAGAAGCTTGCTGAAACCGTTGTAGTGGGCGATTTGACTCACGTAGAGCTTTGAGTTTCTTGTGAGTTTCTTGTGTTTCTTGGCAGTTCAAATTCCTCGTTACCAATGTGAAATAAAAACGTTAATATCTTCGTTAGGAGTTGGTTTCCGTAATTTTCGTTGTGTGAATCGTTTTCTACGTGAAATTCTGGTTAAGAAACATGTATCAAATCGCTTAAATTCGTACCTTGTCTAATGGTCCATTGGGTGGCATTTTGCAAAAAAGAACTAAGAGCATTCTAATGTCGCCAAGATTGCGCACCTTTTTTTACCCTGCAAATATAAACCGAGCAACTAAATACGTCTTATCTTTACTACCAATAAACTATGATGACTTCAGGACGAAGGTTACTTTCACAAATTTAATTTTTTGCTCGATTTCTCTAATTTTTAGGTAAGAATGTAAGATGCGCGATCCTAGCAACATTGGAATGCCGTTGGCTCCTTTTTGTAAAATGCGATCCCATTTTTCGTCGAGAGGATTTCCTCTGGAATCAAGAGGTGAATAATTAGGCAGGAGTGTCCTAGGAAAAACGCTCTCTGTGCTCCTCAGACCAGTTGCGTAGCGTGAATTGCGATACATCGATTGTTATGCCATTTAAACCTATGGTAAAGAATCGATTATTAAGGTGTTCCCTGCGAACACCCTATTTATCGATCCTTTCCCATAGGTTTAAATGGCGTAACAATCGATACATATTAATTCACGCCACGCCACTGCCTCAGACATCATCTTTTCAACTGTCAGTTTCTTGGTCAATAGCTTCTTTCTTTTCAGATTTGACATACCGTGTGGTGGGAGCCGAGCCATCTAAAACCACACGCAATTTAGAAGTCAATTCTGACTCATTTATGACAGCATGATGAGGTGAATGTGTGACACTGCCAAGGTGTTATGCAAGTAAACTTTTTGCCAGAGCTGAAGCTTTCCGATCTTTGATATCATCGAGGCTTAAGAAATTATGCTACATCAACCAATAATAAACTACAATGTCAAATGAAGAATAGAACGCATAGCGGAGTGTGTTTAAAAAAATTGTCAAAAATAGAAAAAACAGCGAGGAGGAAGCAGATAGTAGTCGATTGATGACAAGTGGTTGTAAATGTAAAAATTAAAAAAAAAATTAACAAGTTCATCCAGCTGTCTCCCTGCGCCAACTTAATTTGTGCCATTAGGGGAGTAAATTTCTTGGCATAGAATATGCTACGAAGTAAAGCGATCGAGAGCAACATTGAAACTTTCGTTAAAGTACTTCGTTTATGTCGTTAAGTCTGTGACGTGTTCAATTTGTATCGCGTCTTTGACTTTACCTGGAAGGGTCCAGCCAGATCAGATCCGACCTTCAAAAACACCGTCCTGGACAAATTCGAGATTCAGGCAAGTTGCCCTTGATGAGCATTAGATTGTGATGTTCATTGTCAAAGCATCTAAGTACATTCATGCAATTGTGATCGAAATATATTTTTCGCTAAAATAATCCAGAAATGATTCGATATGGTACTTCGGAATAATTTTTTACTTGTATGCAGGTGCATTACGTGAAAATGCCGTATGATTATTTTTGTGAAATGGACTGCATTTTGCAATTTGGAGCTATAAATTCTGGCTCATCTGAAAAAATACTTATGTGCATAGGGAAACTAATGACACATACGTTGTTATTAAACCGGGTTAGAATTTATAGCTCCAAATTGCAAAATGTAGTCCAAATGACCTGCAGGTGGTAATATCGGGGTTTTTTTTGTCATAATCTAGGGTAGAGTGAGACAATCAACCCCCCCCCCTCCTCCCTTGAGAATACCCTAGGGTTCAATGAAAGGGTTTAGAGATGCAATGTATTGTAATATAATGGGCAACAACATTATTTTGCCAGGAGTAGGTTCCGGAGAATATTCATCATCATCGTCACCTATATCCGTGAGTGACTCACCAAAGATTTTCCTTTTACGGACAACCCACATCCGTAAGTGGCTCACCATAGATTTTTCTCTTACGGACAACCCACATCCGTAAGTGGTTTACTGAAGATTTTCCTCTTACGGAAAAACTCATATCCGTAAGTGGCTCACAAGTACCCCATTCGCGGGCAACCCTTATCCGTTAAATGGACGCCATCGACGTGGCACCGTCGGGCAATTTCACTGCAGTTCTCTCTGC